TCCAACGCAACCGGTCTCTAGCGACCGATTGTACGCGAAAGACGTCTAGGAACTCGGAACCCTCGACCGTACGCACACTACACAGAGCTTGTTATCCGAGGAGAAACCTTTGGATGTCAGTATAACTACAATTTTTAAAGTAAATAGATGGTAATTAACACATAAAAACACGGAAAACTTCAATCACTAAAACTGCCTCGAATTTCACCACACCGCAGGAGAGCCGAGTGGACCGCCTGCGGAGTAGCGGTTGAAGTGGAAGTACCGGCTCAAGATGACTACGGCGAGGCAACTGGGATGTTGCCTACTTAGAGGATGTGCGATGTAACAAAGTATAGAAACTATTGTGGCGCGCAGTTGTATCAGAATTGTAACTTTTACGGCACCTTTCTGGTTTGCAGTCCAGAGCGCCACTCATGTGCAGCTACGGAAGGACAAGAATATAAAGAGAACGGTTAACGGTAACGTTTCTTTCGCCTTTATGTTGCACTGATTTCCTCTTACAGAGTCTACGTGTTGTGTAATACAAATTCCGTCGTATTCTCCGTCTTGTATGCCATTTTCAACTTAGGTGCTGTTACACGTCCAAGCGGGACCTTGTAGTAGTCCCAAAAGGTAACCGGATTGTTGTACCTCAGTTAGATGACTATTGCTGCTCCCTTTCCTTTTTAAATTCACTTAGAAGGGCCGTGTTTAGTCTGCCAGGTGTAGGGTGGCGCAAGGCTCGAGATGGACAGAAGCTGACTTGGCAGCTGGAAATGAAGTCACTGGCGACCAAACTGGGTGCCGTTTATCCGTCTGACATTCCAGGCTTGAGTCCACGTGACTCGGCTTGTGCTTGGCTCAAGAGTTTACAAGACATGGCTCGCAACCGACACCAGTGCCACATTTGCTGCCGTCTCCTAGTTGGATTGCCTGTTTTAAGTGTGTTTGGTGCCGAGTTATCTGCGGAGTAATGGCTGATTATGACACGGGGTAGTGAAAGCCGCAAGGAAGCTGTCTCGTCGATGCCGCCTTATCTTTGCACGATAGCCAGCTGTTTGTGACGGTATGTTGTTAACACAAGGTATAGGCGCTTTGATCCTGAATGTTTGCTTAGAGTATTAAGATTTTTAGGTAAGTCCCCCTACTCTCCCTCTCATTATTCTTTATTTCATAGCTCGACGTGGTTGTATGGCAGCAAAGCATCAGTTCAAATGGCTGATGTACTGCTGTTGTTACTTTGTTGTTGATTCTTAAGTTCGCCCAACAGTCGGAAACCTTATGTTCTAATAAGGCAAACCGAAAAGTGTTACCAAATAGGCTAGAGGGTTCAGACAGCAAATATCTTGATAGCTGAGTGCGTCATACAATGTCACTCAAAAAGGTTGCAAAACGTCCAATCAGAATACGTACGGGACCAGCTCGTTAAAATAAATTTCGCCGATGGTAGCACTGTGCTTTCTTGCAGTCGGGATCACAACTTGTGAGTAGCTAATCAGATGCTAGTCACATCGATGCTACGGAGAACAGTAGGAGCGGATGGACTCCGTATATATTGACAAGGGCTAAAATGAATGTAATAGAGATAGAGAAGAGCAGATATCAACGTACCTGGACGACTCACCCGGAGAGAGCATGTGAACTGGGTGTACCATCTGTAAACTAACTGGACCACCGAAAGATCCAGACAGGAATGAAATCCACTGTCGCAAAATATTGAAAACGTAACCATTCCATGTTCAGAATCCACTGCAGGTAGTGGCATTGAATGATGATCATATCTTCTTGTTCCCAGGTAGATAGGCGCCATTCTCCATGGTGTTGCCTTCTCCTCCTGGATTGCCATTGCTGCTCATCTCGCGTCCAGTGAAAACATGAAATTCGCTACAGATAATCGCATTGCTTTATGATCAGTTTTTGTCATTGCACGACAATTACGTTGCTTATATGCTGTTGTCCCCCCACGCTCCTTCAAGTTCTAGTGGGACTAGAACGATAGGATTATCCCGTGAGTATTCCTTCTCCGATGGGCAGTCGAACCAGGGCCTTGAAATCTAGATGAACCTAAAACAAAGACCGCTACGCACTATGACCGACCAAGTACTACCTGCATGCCCCTCATCGACAGTCTCTGTAGAGCCGGTTAGTTGAAGAAAGTGAACAATAAAATCGAAGATATGAAGAAGAAGAAGAAGAAGAAGAGGATGGTGAGTTTAGAAGGCAGGTTAGGTTGCAGGGAATGTTTTTTTGTACAGCAAAAGGTTCCCTGTTCTCCTAGCTATTCAAAGATGACAACGTTGAACCCTAGGCTGCTGGCTTTGGTGTCGGAATTCTTATGTGGGAGAACGTTTCGAGTTAGAATCGGTGATGTGAGTTCTCGTATGGCGGTGGTCTACAGCGGCGTCCCTTAAGGACCGGTACTAGGTCCACTATTGTTTCTTATCTTTATAAACAACCTACCCCCTCTTCTTGAAGATCTCTGCTGCATTTTTGCGGATGATTTAATGTTGGTCAGCAGGGGCAACCGAGCAACACTGACCAAAGATATCATCAGTGTGATTAACCGGTCGAAACACTGAGATCTGCCTCTGAATGCTAACAAATGCCAACTATTGACCACTAGTGGAGGGAGATTACGTTGCAAACCTCCTCTGGGTTTTTCGCTTCGCAGTGCACTAACCAGGCGCGTCATTGTATTGCGCAATTTCAAGCCTACTGCGCAACGTCGATATGCTGCCAACAAAGCGCGACAAGAATTGTTTCGGTTTAAGAGGGCACTGTGTAACACCAAGCCAGAAGTTTTCCTACCGTTGTACAACGCAGTGGCTCGGCCTCATCTGGAGTACTATATTCAGCCTTGGTCATCCTATCTCCGTGGTGACGTTATTTGCATGAAACGAATTTCGGAACTAGTAACCAGGATCATTAAATATTAGCATAGGGTGTCGCATAAACATCGCCTAAAGAGCTTGGGGTTGTTTTACCTGGAGCGGCTAAGACTGAGAGGTGACCTGCTAGAGATAATGAAGGACCTCAGTGACATCAAGCCTACTGATTTGTTTGAGGTGTCTGCTTCTGATCGCTTGCGCACACCTCGTTTTAAGCTCAAGCAACAGAGAGCTTGATTGGACATCACGGCGAAATTTTACACGAATCATGTGGTACACAGCTCGAATAAATTACCTCCTGTCTTAGTGGACTGCGAGAATGTAGTGGCTTTTGATAAGTGTTGGCCATATCTTTTTCCAGAACTACTGTAATTTTATCGACATTTAGCAGCATGACCTCGTGCACTGATATTTGATGTTGATCCATGAAAATGCAAAGATTGCTCTTGTTCTTGCTCCATTTCTTTTTGCAGAAGTAAGGAGAGGGGATCACACGTCGAAGTGTTGGGGCTCTGATTCGCTTACCGATACTAGGAGCGGAACGCTCGTTGGACAGAAGCCTGTGTCGTCCTTGGATCTTGACCTGACCTGACCTGTCCCGCTGCTAACTAATTGTCTCGTGCTCTTTGCCCATTTATATCTCACTCTCCGGAACTTCATTCTTGTTCGCCTACGTACTTTCATCAACAGCAATAACTCGGCCGAATTGCACTTATTGTGATTATCTGATGGTTTGTTTTTAGCGTTTGCTTGCCTGATTTACGTCCTTACTTCGAACTACATCACGTCATGGTGGATGACACTGCCACTTTCCGTCGGATATTCACTGGTGAATACCGTGATTTCTCAGCGGTGGAGGCTGATGTGAAACGGTTTCAGCGTGAAACAGCAACCTGTTTTTTTCGTGGAAAAGTAGTAACGGTGGAGGGATACAGAAAGAGTACTGGGATCGAGCTACCCGACGGATATCCTTACCAGTATGTACAGTACAAATGTGTGCACAGCAAACGTCACAACGCACTTGGGACGCGGTAAGTTGGCGATATTAAATCAAAAATGATTTCTATAGGATCCACTGCTACAATTGCCAGGCTCGCTTCTCAGTCGTTCTAAAAGGGATATGCTATGAAATTGGACAGGCACATCTTGTGCATTCACATGATTTCCATGTTGGAAAACCATGGCTGTATCCCCGTAATCGACGATTGACCGCGGATCAGGAATCCGTGGTACTATCTCTGATGAGCGGTCTCCAAGATACTCCGGGACTGCGTGCATATGTGAGTAGTCAATATGGAATTCATTTGAACCGGAGTGACTTGTATCAATTACGGCAGCGTCATCGTAATGTACAGGCAAATGAGATGGAGGAAGCGACAACTCTTTTGGAAAATCAAGGTCCGGAAACAACGAACGCAGCCGACGAGGGGACCACACATTGCACAACGGTTGCCGCAACACCGCACAGTGAGGCTACTGTAATTGACCGAACGACTAATATACGTCTTGTGCATGAAGTACTTGAGGACATCGCTGCGCTTCTGATTGGCATGGACTCCGACAAGTTTCAGCAAACATTTGAGGTATTGACTTGCATCCGTGATTTACTGGCGGCAGATTGCGATGTAGCACTTTACGCCACCACATCTAGGTGCCCTGATATGCTACCTCTGATCAGAGCCAACATCAGTCGCTTGTCAGGCCACGAACGGCGGCCCACCGCCACGGTAACTGGGGTCTCACTGAGGAATGGCACAGGCTCATCAACCTGCGACAAAGAAGATATGCCCACCTCTTTCACGGCAACATCTATGGAAAACCCATCTGTACATACTGAGCGGACTTCAAAACGCAAAGCGCCTTTGTGTGTGCGTGTCACGGGACCGCCAGAAGAATGCAATGCGAATAGTGCATTAAAGCCCCGCGTACTACGAACAACCAGCTCGAACTGTTACCGCAAGCGTTGGCAACATGCTGCTGGTCCGTCTACCTCCACCGCTAATGTCGATTGCACTGCTTGTGCAGTATGTCTTCAAGAAGAAGACGATAGCAATCGTGATTCTGAGGTGGACTGGATCATGTGTGATATATGCGGCCGTTGGCTCCATCAAAGTTGTGCTGGATATCAAAATGAACCAACGTACGTCTGCGTTTTTTGCTGCAAGTAAGATACTTTTTGTGATCACCACACGAGCATTTAATTTAGGTAATGCTGTTTTTGTCTACGCCGCCGAAATATTAGTCGCTGAAATTTCTTGGCCGTAATTCTGATCGATGGTTGCTTTAGATGTCACGTTACAAAACTGCAGTTACCGATGTAGTGACAGCTTCATGAACAAACATACGCTTTCAGGTAATGTGGATTTTGCCTACGCAGCCGGAATACTGGTCGCTGTAAGTTCCTTGATCATAATTATGATCGATGTTTGTTTTAGATGTCACATTACACCACTGCACTTACCGCCTTAGCGACAGCTCCATGGCCAAGGAATACACAAGCTACTGCTATCCCTACCACAAACTGTTGACTAAGTAAGTGTGAAAGGTGTTTGTAAGCGTAATTTATTCTTTTACACATTACCTGCTGGCTACGAACAACAGTCACTAACTGCGGCAGTGACAAGTGAAATCACCGGGGAAGCACACAGCGTTCGTATTTTAACGTCCGCACCCTGCACTCTGACCCATTCCCCCTCACGTAGTGTAGTCAGTTGCATGACCGGTGCATTTATTGTCCTCCTTGCAAGCTGTGGACATCCTAAGAGTAATACTTTGTGGCGAGACTAAAATCCACTACCCTCTTGATAAAAAGGCCTATTAGGACTTCTATCGGTCTGTGAGACCGTAAGTAGCCGAGCTACTGTGGGCCGTCATGCTCTATAGCATTGAGATTTGGCCCGTTCCAACTGAAGTCCATTTAACTTTTTGATCATCGCAGGCTGCGAAGAATTTCGAATGTGGAATGGCAACAGCGTGTCAACAATGATGATTTGGGTAGGTGAGTGGTGGACAGTGCTATTTCTGTAGCACTGTTTAACTTTCGTTGCATTTATCACGCACTATGCACGCCCAGCCACTTGTTAACGGCATTGTTGTAGGGACCTGCGTTTGTCGTCGAGCTTGTTTTTAAAGCTGCATACACCGAATATCATGCGGATCCTTAGAGCACGCATCTTGCATGGATCATGATACTTTCTAACTAGGTCCCAAGATAGATACGATGTTGATAATCTGCCCCCTTCACTGACTATCAGTGAGACTATTCGTGTCAGAAACTTTATCGTCCAGAATCCTCTAGGCTGAGGCGTTACAGGAATTACCGTATATTACTGAATATAAGCCTGTCCATAGATAAGCAACATCATATGTGTCCAAACTCGCAAGTCTATGTATTAACCGACCCTTAAAAAATCAGCAAAAGAAATGAACTTGTTTCTTCATGACTTCGACATCACTATTTGCTCTCACTTGAGTGAGTTCAAGTGAAACCTGCTCCATTATTGGTCAGCTGTGTTGACCGTAATGTTACAATCGCGGTTATTGGGGCGTAGGACCGTCAGAACAAACTTTCTCCACACCGGACAGTGTATTGACCAGATGTCAAGTCAAATGAAACAGGCAAGACAGCCGACAATATATGGTAAGGTGAGAAGATGTCAGAAAAGCCGTCTCGCATGGTCGTGGGCCTCATTTACATGACCCACAGTAGAGCAGTGGGTGACAGTAAAATTCACGTCAGGGATGTGGGACGGATCGCCTGTTGTAACATAATGTTCAATGGCTTTGGATTTGCTGTCGCAATTCCTCGCGAATGTCAGATATGCAATATGCCGGGAATTTTCGACACCGTAATAACGTTTCCAGTGATGGGCACTTAAAATCCCTGTCTGGAATACCGTCGGTCACTAACGGATGGTGCTCATTGGAACTAAGGTCAGTGGTGGGCGATGAATTCCTTGGTGGATTTTGCATGTGACTTTTCAAATCGCGTATGACCTCTGTATAAGCCGACCCTCCATCTATAGTGACAAAAAATTGTCTAAAATTCATCGGGTTGTATCCGGTAATATATGGTACCGTACTTATCTCGCAACTATCACGAGGGGTTTTATTACTTCCTAAAATCCCCGGTTTTCGTGTGACAAGTGTTCGTATGGTAAATTAATTTGTCTAACATTGTATACAAAGAGCTTAAGCAACGTCGCAGTTGGGCTTGATTTCGCCTTAAGCCTTCTGTTGATACTAATAGCCGAGAAACGTATTGTCCACCGGGGCAGGATGCACACAAGAGATCGCTATCCGCTAGAAATACGGTATGGATCAAAAACCTTGCCATTTCGCTATAAACATGTTACAAATTCCGTACACGCTTCCTGTACTTGATTTACATGCGCATTCCATACAAGCCCACCCACAGGCGACATCATGGCTACCATCTGTCTCCTCTGAACTCGCATGCCTGATAATTCTCACTTGTCGCCCTCAACTCTCCTTCACCGTCGATTCCTGCCCCTTCTGTTGCCATTCTAGGACTTAAAAATGTTGCTCTTTCCGAACGTGACGTAATAAATGGGCATTCTGCAAGAGTCAAAAACCATTGGTCCAAGAGGACGTCACGCAACCGCGCCACGGGTAAGTACACCTCATTCATGATTCAGTTGGCTTTTCCATACTTAGATTTAATGCGCCGCCGACGTGCCCTCATTAAGGCTAATATTCTATCCTGGGATGTGAAAACGCCCCTACTTATGGCCAACTATTTTCAACGTCTTTGTTTTACGTACTACGAGCGCTTAAGATGGTTTCTTGTCCTCAAATAAACACGCGCCGAAGTCGTCCATGCTGTTGCCATGTCAGTCTGCTTCCACCTAGACTGTGCTGTTGCTACTCACGTCACGTTCAGTGAAAACAAGGAAACCCGCTACAGGTAGGGACATTACATGATAATCAATGTGACTTCTTGTTCCCCTTGTAAACACCACCGTCCACAATGTTGCCGTGTCACCCTGTCTCCGTTTAGACTGTCATTGCATCCAATACGGACATGGGACTAACTACAGGTAATGACATTACATGATAGTCATGTTTTAGTGTCCCCAGGTAGACATGCGTCGCCGTCGCCTTGATGTTGCCGTGTCAGGCTGCTTCCACATAGACTGTGCCATTGCTACTCACATCGCGTCCACTGTGAACATGGAACTACGGGGAGCTACACAGATGCTATTCTCAACGATGACACTTAAGAAGAGTGTCAAGTACAAGCATATGGAGAACAGTAAGAACGGTTGGAAGCGTGTATTGATAAAAGGTACAAAGAATGAAGAGGAGGCATCCGGAGAAGAGTGCGCCATACCAAAAGAGCAGGTGAACGGGATGTGCCCTCAGCAAAACAAATGGACGATTGGAAGATACAAGAAATAATAAAATCAACTGTTGCAAAATACTTAACGTTAGCACTTCCTGTTCACTACAAGGGGCTTAAGTGACTAACTGGGTACCTTGAATAAAAACTTCAGTTAGGGAGACAGTAAGGATGAGAGCGTAGAGTAGGCATTGGACTAAACGTAGGTAAACCGTGTGCTTGTGGAGTTCGCTGTATCTAGGCCTCTTTTTTGCCTATTATTTTAGTGTAGACGGGTGAATCATCAGTGGACCGTTGCTTGGGGCCAAGGTGATGGTACCTGGGCAATTGGGCCAGGAGATGTATTACGTCGCTTCGCTTGAGGGCCAAAGTGACAGTGATATCAGCATAGTTTGCAGCTTGGTAGGCTGTTGGGTTTGGCCGATTTACTGTTAGGTAAAGATGAACTATCTACATCGCTGTATAATGCTTCCTGTTCATTGAGTCCTATGGTTAGCTCTGATAGCTTTAAAATAGGGGATGCATGAATTATGTGGCTACTGAGACGCGTTAGGACTGTTCGGCGAATGTGTAACGGGTGGCGTCGTGTAATCCACTTGTTTAGGAAGATGGTCCATGACCGCATCAGTCAGCAGTTCTGCTAGAATGAGGGAGCAAACCTTCACAGATATGATGATGGCGTAGTTCCAGAAGAATGGAGTCATCCAATGTAGACAAGCCCAGGAGTCTCTCCATCTCACCCAATAGGGTGGATGACCTCTTATCACCTAGACGCAAGCTGTGGCATAGCTGTTTGATTCGCGTACTCATTCGTCGCTCCAGTTGGCTTACGATCTCTTTCTTAAAAGACTCAAGAAAATCCTTGTCTGGACTCGGTGGGCGCATAGAAACTGATGTCAGTCACGCATTATAAAAGCCAGAACTGCCTTCTTGAACCTGCGGCATCTTTGGCGATAGAAGGGAGTTTCCCTCCGTCTGAAAGGCCGTGTATACAAGGCCACAGTGAAGGCCGTCCTGCTCTTTGGGAGTGAGACTTGGCCCCTTCGGTCTGAGGATCTGCGGTGCCTTCAAGTCTTTGATCATCGTTGTCTGCGAAGCATTGCTAGTGTCGGATGACACTAGCGTGTCCGCAACGATGATGTGCGTAGGCGAGTACTAGGTAGTAATAATCATGCTAGATTCTTAGAACAGATAGCACTTAATACGTTGCGTTGGCTTGGGCACGTGCTACGTATAGCTGGTCACCGTTTACTTAGAAGGACCTTGTTTAATCTGCCAGATGTAGGGTGGCGCAAGGCTCGAGATGGACAGAAGTTGACTTGGCAGCGGGAAATGAAGTCATTGGCGACCAAACTGGGTGCCGTTGGTCCGTCTCGTCTTCCGGGCTGGAGTGCACGTGACTCGCCTTGTGTGTGGCTCGCAACCGACACTAGTTCTGCGTCTGCTGCCATCTCCTAATTGGATTGCCTGTTTTAAGTGTGTTTGGTGCCGAGTTATCTGCGGAGTGATGACTGATTATGACACGGGGTAGTGAAAACCGCAAGGAAGCTGTCTCGTCGATGCCACCTTAGCTTTGCACGATAGCCAGCTGTTTGTGACGGTATGTTGTTAACACAAGGTATAGGCGCTTTGATCCTGAATGTTTGCATAGAGTATTAAAATTTTTAGGTAAGTCTCCCTACTTTCCCTCTTATTATTCTTTATTTCATAGCTCGTCGTGGTTGTATGGCAGCGAAGCATCAGTTCAAATGGCTGATGTACCGCTGTTGTTAATTTGTTGTTGATTCTTCAGTTCACCCAACAGTCGGATTGGTCAGAAATTATATTGTGACGGAAGCCTTATGTTCTAATAAGGCAAACCGAAAAGTGTTACCAAATAGGCTAGAAGGGGCAGACAGCAAATATATTGGTAGCTGAGTGCGTCATACAATGTCATTCAAAGTGGTTGCAAAACGGCAAATCAGAATACGTACGGGACGAGCTCGCTAAAATAAATTTCGTCGATGGTTGCACCGTGCTTTCTTGCAGTCGGGATCACAAGTTGTAGGTAGCTGATCAGATGCTAGTCACATCGATGCCACGGAGAACAGTAGGAGCGGCTGGACTCAGTATGTATTGACAACGGCTAAGATGAATGTAATAGAGATAGAGAAGAGCAGATATCAACGTACCGGGACGACTCACCGGGAGAGAGCAGGTGAATTGGGTGTACCATATGTAAACTAACTGGACCACCGAAAGATCCAGACAGGAATGAAATCCAATGTCGCAGAATATTGAAAACGTAGCTGTTCCCTGTTCAGAATCTACTGCAGGTAGTGGCATTGAATGATGATCATATCTTCTTGTTCCCAGGTAGATAGGCGCCATTCTCCATGGTGTTGCCCTCTCCTCCTGGATTGCCCTTGCTACTCATCTCGCGTCCAGTGAGAACATGAAATTCGCTACAGATAATCGCATTGCTTTATGATCAGTTTATGTCATTGCACAACAATTATGTTGCTTATATGCTGTTGTCCCCCCACGCTCCTTCAAGTTCTAATGGGACTAGAACGATAGGATTATCCCGTGAGTATTCCTCTGACGGGCAGTTGAACCAGGGCCTTGAAATCTAGATGAACCTAAAACAAAGACCGCTGCGCACTATGGCCGACCAATTACTACCTGCATGCCTCACCGACAGTCCCTATATAGCCGGTTAGCTGAAGAAAGTAAACGATAAGATCGAAGATATGAGGAAGATGAAGAAGAGGGTTCCCGGATGGTGAGTTTAGAAGGCAGGTTAAGTTGCAGGGAACGTTTTTTTGTACGGCAAAAGGTTCCCTGTTCGCCTAGCTATTCAAAGATGACAACGTTGAACACTTCTAGCTAGGGAACAGAAAATGCACAGCGCACGAGAGCGGTCGCACGTTGCAATCGAAACGAGCGCCAAGCAAAAGACGATGCTCGACTCAAACAATCAAACTCAACAACCAGTTCAACAATTCTCACGGGTCGGCTGGATGTACAATGAAATGATGATTTTAGTTTGAATTTTACATATGCAAACCGGGGAATCTCCAGACTGCTACATAGCCCTACTCCAAAAGGGATTTTAAGCAGTCTTTCGATCTACGTGTGAACTGTCCCACGCGGGCTAGCCTTCTGCGAGACCAGGTGAAACCAGCTGCAGTTGCTGGGGGCGAACCATGCAGTCGGACCCTAGCGGGCTTTCACCCGTGTCCTCCTTACGGTTTCAAAACGGAAAAAATGGTTTTTTGGGAATAGCTCGTTAAGTTCATGTAGCTTGTGGAACAGGAGATTCGTTGTGCTTCCAGATGTGCAGGGATCCAGCGAAACGTTCAGCAGGGGGACAACTAACGGAGGGTGTGTATATGGGAAGTAAAATGGAAAAGAGCAACGTAAAAGCATAGCAATGCACAAAAGCGTGCGAAGCTATTTGGGTTTTCAAAAGGTTTTGCTCTTTTTTGGTGGTTTCAAAACTTCTTTTTTCTTGGTTTCAGAAAACGTTTGTAGGAGCGCGATAACATGGGCAGCATGTCTGTGTAAAATCGCAAATGCTAACAAGGTCTGAAAAACGAACTGGGGTTTGAACTCCCTACCACGTTGATTGGGGTGCGATCTATTAAGGCTGTAAGTTCCGCTGGAGCAGTGTGACTGGTCTGAGATTGCGGGCTGAGGTTCTTGTTGCACCGAAGACTCATTGTTGTCGTCTCAGTTTTACCATTGGAGTCATTGGTAAACGTCTTGTCGCTTCTGTGTACGATGCGGTACGGGCCAGAATAAGGAGGTTGGAGTAGCCGGTGTACGTTGTCAGTGCAAACGATCATGTGCGTACAAGTGGCTAAGCGTTCATCCACTTTTGTACGCAAGCTGTGTGCTCTTGGTTGCACAGACTGAATTTGTCTCATGTAATGAGATAGGCAAGCAGCGTAGTCACCATATTCAAAGGTGTTGGCGTTTTCGACGAGTCAGGTTCCTCAGGCAGGTGTTGTATGCATCCATAAATTAACGAAGAAGAAGTGGCGTGTATACCCGCTAATCGTTTTCCTTATGCCTAAGAGAACCATCGAAAGTGCTTGCCAGAATATGCTAGATTGGACGCAGAGTGATACTTTGGATTGGCGATGGTACGTTTCTACCATCCCATTAGCTGCGATATGGTATGCATTGGT